GGGGCCGGCGCGATTGTTGCTCGCTAGAACCTTCTGTGCAAACTGACGCGATGTTCTGATAGAACAGCGGCACGTCATGTGACCTCCTGCCGCCATCTTGTGCCCCCCTTTGTTTTATATATAGTATATTCTCAAAGGCTTTTGATACGGTACCACACAAACGCTTGCTACACAAGCTGAGGGCTATGGGCATAGATGAGGTGGTGTGTACGTGGATAGAGAACTGGCTACGGGAACGTGTCCAGAGGGTATCTGTAAATGGCACCTTTTCAGACTGGGCTAGTGTAATGAGCGGTGTGCCTCAGGGTTCTGTGCTGGGTCCCATATTGTTCAACTTATTTATTAATGACATCGGGGAGGGTGTTAACAGCGATATTTCCGTGTTTGCGGATGACACCAAAATAGGGAGGGTAATAGACACGGACTTAGACACTATAACATTACAGGAGGACCTGGATAAAATAGGGGAGTGGGCATTAATGTGGCAGATGAGGTTTAATGTCGATAAATGCAAAGTAATGCACTTTGGAATTAAAAATAAACAAATGGGTTATACAATTATGGGTATGCCGCTGGGGAAGTCAGAAATGGAGAAGGATTTGGGGGTCATTGTAGACCACAAACTGAAAGGTAGTTTGCAGTGCCAGGCTGCTGTAAACAAAGCTAGCAGGGTCTTGTCCTGTATTAAAAAGGGGATGTATTGCAGGGACAAGTCTATAATTTTGCCACTTTATAGATCATTGGTTCGACCTCATCTGGAGTACGCGGTCCAGTTCTGGTCACCAGTACTAAGAAAAGATGTCCTTGAGTTGGAAAAAGTCCAGCGAAGGGCAACCAAACTAATTAGGGGTATGGAGGACCAGAGCTACGAGACGAGGCTACTAAATTTAAACATGTTCACATTAGAGGTGAGGAGATTAAGGGGGGATATGATTTCCATGTACAAAATGTTTAATGGTGGTAGCAACATTAGCGATAAACTGTTTAAAATTAACTCCGTTACAAAAACTAGAGGCCATCACCTAAAATTGGTGGAAAAAAAATTCCAGCACAAGGGGCGAAGGGGGTTCTTCACAGTAAGATCAGTTAGGGTCTGGAACTCACTGCCACAGGCGGTGATTTCAGCAAATAATGTGGAATTGTTCAAGAAACTTTTGGACGATTTCTTAAGGGACCGTAATATACAGGGGTACGGGTACTCCTAGAATGAGATCCTAATAGGTTGGACTTGATGGACTAATGTCTTTATTCAACCTCAAATACTATGTATGTAACTATGTATGTAACTATATATATACACACACACTATTGTCAAAAGTATTGGGACGCCGGCCTTTACACGTGCACGAACTTTAATGGCATCCGAGTCTTAGTCCGTAAGGTTCAATATTGAGTTGGCCCACCCTTTACACCTATAACAGCTTCAACTCTTCTAGGAAGGCGTCCACAAGGTTTAGGAGTGTGTCTATGGGAATGTTTGACCATTTGTGAGGTCAGGTACTGATTTTGGGTGAGAAGGCCGGGCTCG